CACACACACACACACACACACACACACACACACACACACACACACACCTTACTTGGAAAGTGTATATTTGCTTGAGTGGAACTATTTTATTAAAGTGGCATGGCTCTGCCTAAGGCCCTGTCCACCACTGCTCAAATCTTCATTTGGCCAGCCATGTGATATCTTGGGAGGAAGATGCCATTTTCAAACATATTATAAATAAAACTCTATCCAGGGCACAGGACATAAAAAAAAAAAAAAAGCCCACATATTTGATCACTGAAATGTCAGCCAGTGTCCCCAGGCAAAATGTGGGTGTCAGTTTTGATGTTGTTTTGAGTAGCTCACTCATCTGTTTCCCAACTGCCGCCATGCTGCCCCCCTGGCAATGAGGCTGCCCTTCGACTCTGCCTTCTTCACTCCACTTCCATGCCTCCGCATACCTGCCCTGAAAACTCACAGCCATACGCTGTGGGAAACGTTTAAGGATGGGTTTGCACCACATTTTAAAAGCCTAGTATTTTAAAATCCGAACTCGTGACACAGTTGGATTTGGAAATGCTTTTTCCCTTCTTGGTCACTCTATTGCAGGGTCCCTTTAAAGAGCAAGCTCGCCTCTGGGGGTAGAGATTAATTTGGCTTACAAAAATGTTATTTGTCTGGGTGTGGTAAGCTGCTCAGTGCATTCCGTAGTTTCTTGTACTTATCTTAATTCTGGCATTAACTAAACTGTGGCCTGACAGTTGCTAGTGTTGTCAGCTTGAAAAAATCAAGGTTTTCTGTAATCATGCAAGTAGAGGATTCTTGACATGTCCTCTTCTAGAATGTTTTTCCCCCCGTTGCCACTACAAAGACCTGGGGCTGATCTATGTAGAGTACTGGGTATTGGCTCAGGGAAAGGAGGGTGGGTATCAGGATCTGCTTCACTCAGCAGCTGCATTGCTGGAAGAACTATAGATTTGGCTATTGAACTTTCCAAGTGCCAAACTCCAGTCAGGCTAGAATCCCCTGGGAGCCTTGTCCTTAAATGGTCTTGGTGTCCTTGGCTTATTACAAGCCTGAAAAGAGCATTTAATTATTTTTATGTATGTTTTTAATTATGTTTTGAAATGCCTGGCTTCTTTTAGGCCCTGCAACCTGGGGGGCCAAATCAGTAGGCCAGTGGTTTATACCACATATGAGTTGTTTATCTGTTCAACTTTAAATTATCAGAAGCATTTAAAATTTGGAAGATTTCGTGTAACCGCCCAGATTTCTGGGTTCCTCTGAAAAGAATTAAGATCAGGAAACACTGGACCGATGTCCCCCCCACAGACCAACAGTGATCTGGAGCTGAGAGACGACTACTCTGTTTAGTTGAAGCAAATATATTTGAGGATAACACGGCCCCTACCTCTCCCTATCATCTCATACCTCATCTACTGCACTCATTTACGTTACCTCCTGGCCCCATAGGTGTTGCCTTTATAACCCCTGAGCATTTTCTCCACATCAAGATTCTAAACCTTTTCTTAGGCTCCTTTGAGAACATGATGAAAGCTTTGGACTCTCTCCCAAGACAAATGTTCATGGTTGTACATACAATACTATATTTTGCATGCATTTGTACAAGGTACATAAATCACTTGATGATCAATACCACTTAAAACTTGGGTCTATGGAGGGGGGCACCTGGGTGGCTCAGACGGTTGAGCGTCCAACTCTTGATTTTGGCTCAGGTTATGATCTCAGTGTCGTGGGATTGAGCCCCACATGGGGCTCCGCACTGCTGAGTCTGGAGTCTGCTTGGGATTCTCTCTCTGCCCCTCCCCTGCTCGCTCACACTCTCTCTCTCTCAAAGATAGATAGATAAAATGAATAAATAAATAAAACTTGGGTCTATGGAGGAATGTATGGAAAGTTGATCCAAATTAGGCAGCGAATCCAAAACTCATGCATTAAACTGGGTTTTAGAACAAAAGGTAAAAATACATGTATGAATATGCTCATATAATATCAGATGTTGAAATACGTACCACTCTTGGCAGTCAATGACTGGTGGTATTTTTGCAGTCTGGCTGTTTTGTGTGCTAGCTCAGCCTTGCAGATAATCTAGGAGAATAATTTGCAACCCTCAGCACTCTGGTCACATAGCCCAGCTGCTTTCTAGAGCGGGAGCACAGACCTAGACATTTCTACATTCTACATTTTTCCTAAAGGAAAACTCCCAGCAAACCCCCAGGAGTGAAACAGAAGTAGGAGAGAGACCAGAACCGCTACCCAAAGGGACGTGAATAAAGCAGTCTGGGAACAGTGATGCCATGTTCGTGATTTAAATTGTCAGATTAAAAGGGGAAACATAATATTACTAGTGTTGGTAAGGGTGTGGGAAAACGGGCTCATTCATACATTTTTTGATTATTGCATTATTGGAACAAACTTTTGGGGGCTGCAGCTGGGAACATGTCCCGATCTCTCTCCACTTTGTAATTCTACTTCTCAGAATTTCTCGTAAATAGTTAGAGATCTGTTCAAAGATTTAGGTACAAGAATGTTCGTGGTAGCATTTTTTTTATCATGATGGTGAATTATAAGCAATCTAAATGTAAATTATACCCCTAAGTTATGAATCTCTGCAATTGTTAAAAACCTTGTTTTGGAAACATTTAATGGCATGTGGATATGTTCCTCACATGGTATAAAATAGGAAGATAAAAACAAATTGCACAACAGGATGTTGTGTACAATCCACAATTTATTAAAATTTATGTGCATTTTTAAACATTGGGGAGCAAACCAGTTAATGATGGTTAGATCGGGGTAGTAAGAAAACATGACTCATTGCGCTTTCTTTACATTTTCAAGGCGAGCACATATTTGTTATTTTTGTTTGGTTTTGTGTTTTCTTTCTCTCTTCCTCCCTCTCTCTCGTTTTCCCTCTCTCTCTTTCTTTCCTTTTTAAGGAAAAAAAGGCAGGGCGCCTGGGTGGCTCAGTCGGTTAAGCATCTACTTTTGGCTCAGGTCATGATCCCAGGATCCTGGGGTCAAGTCCCAAATCAGACTCCCTGTTCTATGGGGAATCTGCTTCTCTCCCTCTCTCTCTCTGCCTGTCTCCCCACTCATGCTCTCTTTTCCTCTCTCTCTCGCTCCCTTTCTCTCTCAAATTAAAAAAAAAAAAAAGGAAAGAAAGAAAGAAAAAAGAGAGAGTAGGGTGGGTTCTATTCTGTGCTCCTCAGGCTCAGCCTCTGGCAGGTTCCCCACTCCCCTCCTCCCCAGTCGGGCTCCCAGCCCCCGCGCAGCCCTGCACCACCGTTTCCCTGGTGCTCCGTCCTCCCCCAAACCCTGCAGGGGTCCTCAGCGGGGGTCCTCAGCAGGGGTCCTCAGCGGGGGGTCCTCAGCGGGGGTCCTCAGCGGGGGGGGGGGGGGGGGGGGGGGCGGCCCCGCCCCGCCCAGCAGGGAGCCAGCAGGGGAGAGCAGCAGGAGGGCTGTGGAAATACACTAGAGCAGTTTTCACATTCCAAAAGCCTTCATAAATCTAGCAGATCAATAACTCAGCTTATACACTTATTAGGACAAAGGAGGATGGATGTTGGAAGCTGGAGAGAGTGAAATGAAAGCCTTCAGGATACACAAATTAGAGGTAGAAATAAAAATTGAGACCTACGACTAGTAACCTGTGCTTCTGCATAAAGGAAACTCTCTTGAAGAATTAACAAGTAGGAAAAAAAAAACCCTCTGCCATCAAAGCCTCTGCTGACATAAAAATACTTACTTTATAGCTTTTTTTTTTTTTTTAACAGAAGGAGCCTTCTTCATGTGACGAGCAGGGTAAGATGTCACATTAATCGGGGAAATTTGAATATAGGCTGGCTGTTAGATGGTATCAAGAAATTGTTGATAATTTTCTTAGCGGGGAGAATGGCATTTAGTTATGTAAGAAAATGTCCTTTTTAATGCATATGGAATGATGTAGGGATAAGATGACAGAATGTCTAGAATTTAGTTAAAACAGAAAAAAAAAAAGGCACAGTCGACAAAATCTCAAGGCATTTTCAGACACAGGCAGTGTAGGCACCAACAGAATCCTTCCCATAATTGACATCCTGAGGGACACACTCGTGATGCGCCGACTGTCTGGGCCCTGTTAACGTTTAGGTTTCTCAGCTGTATTTGTAACCAGACCACCAGGGGAATAGCAGGGGAAGTGGCTTATGCACATGCCTGAGAACTGTGGCTCTGGAAAATCCTGGTCCAGGTTTCCCCAGCCAGTGAGTTTAAATTCAGAGCACGTTTTCCTTAATACACGAATGATGATGACTTGAGCCTCTTAGGACCAGCACAGGAAAGGGAATGGCCCCTCAACGGCCACTCCCCGAGGTTCCTTGAGCATCTTTCCAAGATGGCGCCCCAGCTGTGCTCAGGAAGAGGTCCCCAACTCTTCCACTCCAGCCTCTGCCTCCACCACCTGGGCTGGAAGTGCTCTGCCAGGCACAGCTGCACCCCTCCTCTAGCTATCTCCTGTGCCTGCCGCCACCCCTCTGACCCCAAGGAGCTCCCCCTTTGCTCCTCTATCCTAAGGTAGGAATGAGAACGTAATTCTTCAAAGCATAGCTGAGCCCAGGCTGTGCCTTGGGACAAAGCTTTATGAATGGTTGGGGAGTGAAAGTAGGGGAAGCACCCACAGTGACATCCACCAGCTCCTTGATGGGGGTCTTCTGAGAGTCCCGGGGTCTCTTAAGAGGACTGCCCCTTCGCTTAGCTGTCAGCCTATTCCTTCCTCCACATGAAGATGTTCCAGGCACTGCCACACCCCTGACCCCACCACCTGACACTAGGTTTTGAAAAGGAAAATTTTCACTGTCACACAGTTCTTCCTGTCCTGGCC